TGCCTAGAACATGGAACATGCTGGTGTGCTTTGTTACTATTGTCAAGGGCATAATCCCAGAAGCAATTTTTCTAATCTTACTGGACCTTGTGAGTAGTATTCTGCAGAAAGCACTTTGACAATGATCTAACGTGATCTGAAATTCTAAAAGCTACTTAAATTGTGTGTGTATATGTGTGTGTGTGCATGTGTATGTATACACAAACATATTTAACATATATATAAAACTGATTCAGTAATATGTTAAATACATCACAATATACTACATACTCGTAATGTTTTATATAACATTGAGTCATTACATTTGTTTCAGTACACTACATATCTATGTAATATAGATATCCCTGACTCAGTACAAACTACCTCAAACTTTCCACACTTCAATATGAATTCTACATATATAAAAGAGAATCAAAGACAATGTACAAATCTCTAGCTTTGAGGTTTTACAACTACAAGTTTGCTGGGGAGACAATTTCTCTTGGGACTACTTTCTGTCACGTGAACAATCGCAGCCCTGAAAATACCCCAGCACAAGTCTGTGTGAGAGAAGTAGTCTCTTCTGGTAAATATCTCCTGGTAGGTCCTTCTTCACTTTTCTTCTTACAGGCTATTCAGTGTCTTGCAGTGTTTGTTGATAAATGTTTAAAGTATCCAAAGGAACTAACAAAAGACAAGATACCAGAGGTTAGCCTTGTGTTTATCAGTCTGCAGCTGTGCTCCATTTTTACTGGTTCTAACTGTGATGTCACTGCTGCAAAGTAAAAGTAAAACAGGAATAGTAGTGCATCGCATGGTTGTCTACTTTATCAACTATCAGTAACTCCTGCTCCTTGAATCGTTCTCATAAGCAGAAAGTACCCTCATGCTTTTCCTGTGTCCACTGCATAGTGAATGACCTTATTCATTTCCTGTATACTTTGTGAGATCCACACTAAGATATCTCAGCACAAACATTGGCATAATTATCGCAGTGAAGTTTACAGAGATGTGATTCAAATGAATTAAAATGCCTATATGTTTGGTAATTTTCAAAGGCAAAATATAGGATTTGCTTTAATATTTTCTCTCAGTTATGTCATTGTCATTTGTAAAGAAAAGGAATAACAAAACAAAGCGACAGTGGATTCTTATACTTTTATAGGTATCTGTTTATAAGAATTTTGTTTTAGCTGGGAATTATGGTGTAGGGAGAGTAATCCATGATGCTGTGATTATCATGACTTTAAGCACAGTATCCAGTATGTGTGTCATGCAACATCCTTATTACCTAATGAAATTATAAGCCCATACTTTATTAAGGTTATTAGATAGGATCAAATAACTACAACTGGAGAGGCAAACCATGTATGACTGATTTTTGTTCCTCGTTCAAAGAGTTATCTTAGCTCTGAACAGAGGACAAAGTAGGAAGCTAGGCAGTGATTCATGAGAGGATATGGAAGTAAATGATTAGTTCCTGTGCCACCAGTCTTCAGTAATGGCATAAATTGTTCGGGAGGTTCTTTAACGTCAGGTCATATGCCTGCCTGTGCCACACCACGTACAGACTAGCATATATTATGAGTTGAGAAATCCAGGAGATGAACGAAAATTCCTCCACACCGTTCATTTTTTAAAGATGTCACATAGATTTGAAGATAAAGAGGAAAAGCATCATGCTGCTCCTTTTAACAATAGAAGCTAAATCTGCATATTTATAAACACAAAGGCCATTCGCAAATGGCAAAACACTTTCATGGAACAGAGGAAAAAATGTTAATTGATTGTAAGCTAAGACCTATCTGTGACTTCTCAAGCCCATGAACCAGTTTATTCCCAGCTTGAAAATTTTAAGTTCTGTTGATTCTTAAAATAATGAGGAAGGCAATGAGTACATAGCAAGGCTAGATAAGAAAGCTAACTACTATACCTTTTAAATCAGTGATCTTATAACAGCCTTTTCTTTCCCTGGGATAATTAAAGTTAAAATGTATATGTGCTGTTTCCTTTGTGTTATATAAGTTGAAGAATCTTCTCTCAGAGTATAATGTCCACGAGTTAAAAATAATTCCTTTTTTGCTGATCTTTCTTTACTACAGTTAGCAGGAATACCAAACATGCCAAGCTGTGGCTTCCTTTTGCCCTATGGTGTTGGCCAGCCAGTGCCTGGGAGGTCACAGGTTAACAGGAGGAAAAAAGAAGGTGTTTCTTTTTTTTTTTTTTTTTTTTTTTTTTTTTTTTTTGTTTTTTTTCCTTTTTCTTGGTCTTTTGAGACAGGGTCTCACTATGTAGTTGAGACTGACCTGGAACTCACTATGTAGCCCAGGCTGGTCTCGAACTTACAGCGATCCTCTTGCCTCAGCCTCCCGAGTGCTGGGATTACAGGTGTGCGCTACCACGCCTGGCAAAAAAGGCGTTTCTTGATGGGGGTCCTAGGCATACAACATTCCAACAGAAAACCAGGCCAGGATAACAAGTCATCCCCAGTGCTTATTGCTTTGATGGTGAAATCAAAATTAATTGTAAAATAATCAGAATTTCTGCAAACTCCTGCCTTCAACTTCTTTAATTACATAGGAGGCTTCCAGAATTTCAGAATTATTTGAAGTGTCCTACCTTTGGTCGTTTGTATTTATATTATATGTCATATTTTTTATCTGTAGAGATCATTATTTCTATGGTGGAGAATAGAAACAAAGCTCGAGTTTGTGTGGCAGGCTGTTCCATCTAAATCAGTTTAGGGGAAAGTGTCATAGAAAGTAATAAAGGCAGCTTATGCTTTAAAATAACTTTTTAGAGGTAATGAGAGAATAGGTGGTAATGGCTGCTGAGAAGCAGCTACACTTTTTCCTGGTGCAGCACCGTTTGTCTAGCACAGGCTTCAAACCCACCATCTTACTGCGGTCATCCCCACATAAGCAGTCAGAAACTAAACAGTCACTCTGAGGCACATTTAAAATTAATAGACTTTCTTTAGAGCAGTTTGGGGATTATGGAAAATTGAGCATCTTAGACAGTTCCTATGCCTTCCCGTCCTTGCAGTTTGTCCCATTAGCTTGCCTTGATAATAGTTTGTTACAGATGATGAACTAATATTGATACCTTGTTATTAACTAATTGTCATGATTGACATTAGGGTTCACCGTGTCCTTCATTCACTAGGTTTTGAGAAATGCACGATGTCAGATAGCCATCATTTCAGCGCCATAAGAAACAATTTCGCTGCCCTAAAAATGCTCTTTATTCCTCACATACATCCCTATCTACTTGGCTGGTAATTGGATATCTGATACCACCTAGCATCTCGTTGATGGACTGAGGCACAGACTCCCTTGGCCCGCAGACCCCTCCTTCCTTATTTCTTCACAGAGTTGAAGCTTGTTCATCCTTCCATTCCCGGTTCAAGTTTTGCTCTTCAGGGAGTGCCTCGCTTACCCTCTGCCCCAGTTCCCCAGTGTGATGAGGTCTCTGGTGTAATCTTTTCACCTTGTCTTTGTCCTCCATCAACACGTTAGTTTTATGACTATAGTTGTGTCTCTAACACTAGAATGAAGCTCATTGAATGAGCAAATTATGGCAGGGTAAAGAGAAGGGCTGTCTCACATCTCATTCCAGGGCTGCTTATGCATATTGTCCCTCTCACAGTCCTTCAGGCTTTTAATCCACCAGGTTTCTCCATGTGCATCTAGTCCACTACTTCATGGATCTGTACCTGTCGCCTGTCTTCTGTCGCAGAGATGGCAACTGAGTTATAAATGTATTTTATATTTCCTTTAAAAATCCCCTGGTATTGGTTTGTATTTAGACCCTTTTAATTGACCTTCTGATTAATTGTTCAAATGAAAACGTATCCTACAACTATGTGTATGAATTGTATAGTTAGTAAGAATCTGAGTGAATATGTGTTAAAATTCAAGGACTGATACTGCAGAGAATTGTTTGCTTAGTAATAAAAGAAATTCTTTCACAAAAGACAAAGCAAGTTCTACTGTGAGGCTTTATATAGAGCGCAGTAAACCTGCATGGGAAACCACAACATAGAGTACAAAAATATAGTAGAAACAATAAAGTGACGACCAAAGGAGACCTAGTTTCTTTATTCTGGTTATATATCATATTTTGAATAGATAAGGTACTATGAATTAAGAAAAATAACCTTTCTTCCATTGTTGCATGTATGCATGCCTTGGCATTTTCCCATAGAACCTGAGTTATCTTTCTATAAAGTCTATATTCTCCAATAATAATAGAAAGAATAGATAGATGTTCATTACTTCGAGGAAGCAAGGGGGTATCCAAATATCTTATTTTAAAAGCAAACATTGTCACCTTGATTGAGCATTCCATTAAATTTTAACATTCCCATAATCTGAAACATTGAAAACATAATAAATTTTATGTTTTTATGATCAGAATGGAAGAAACATACCATTTCTCATTGAACATAAAACTATTTCCTGGTAGAAGTACATTTTTCCTGAACCTTTCTTATGGAGGCAGGGTTGATTCTGAACTCTGAAGTCTAGAAACCCAATATTTAGATAAGTAGAAGTTTCTACTTGGGAGACTTTTATATGCATTCAAAGAAGTATTTAAAACCTTAAGCTGCTGTGTCACAGAGTGCTACATCTTTAGCATGGATCTTGCAGGTATAAGAAGGAATCCTCTCTGTCTGTGTGGCCCTGGACCTATTTAATGTCTGTAAAATTAATAATGAACAGTAAGCTACCATGAAACATTATTATGAGGATCAAGTCAAATGAAAGCTTGTAGGATTATATGTCATATACTAAATAAATGAATTGTTAAGATTAAATTGGGCCAGGGACTTGACTTAGTGGTTCTGCCACCTGCCTTGCAAGTGCAAGGTCCCGAGTTCGATCCCCAGTACCCCCCAAAAAAAGATTAAGTGTGATACACTACATTAATGTTGTAGGCTAGCCCTCAGTACACGTTATCAAGTGTTCCAGGCACATTACATCCTTCCTGTTCTTAATGACATTCCTTCTCCCCTTCAGGGGAAGCACAAACTGCATGTAGACACTGGATTGGAAGGAAATTGGTGTGGCCTGGTTCCTGTTGGACAGCCTTGCAATCAGGTTACAACGACAGGCCTGAAGTGGAATCTCAGTGAGTAGAGCCTTCCACAATGGGAGAGTTTTTTTTTTTTCCTTTTCTTTTCTTTTCTCTATGTCTCTTTGGCTTATACTAGATATGGAATCACTAGATTATGTGGCAGTACATTTCACCTGTGAAAAGATCTGCCATACTATTTTCTATGGTGCCTGCGCCATTTTACAATCCTACAAGTAATGTCGATATCCCAGTTTCTCTACAACCTCATCGGCATTTCTCATTGTTTTGTTTTGTTTTTCATGCAGTCATTGTAGTGGATATGAAAGTGATCTGTGACTTTGATTCGTGTTCTCCTGTTTGATGATGTTTTTTGTGCGGATCTGTGTATCTTTGTTAGAGAAATCTTTAGTCTTTTGTTTATATACTACGTATCCTCTTTTTACATTGACTTTTAACAGTCCTTCAGATGTTCTGGATGTATATCCTTTATCAGATATATGACTTGTAAATATTTTCTCAGTTCTCAGCTTAATTTTAATTTTCTCTAAGTTAACTAAATGAGTTCATTTTCATTAAATCCAATTTTTTCTTTATGCATCATTGTTTTGATATCATCTAGGAACTCTGCCCAACTTTCCTCATGACTTTGTGTACCTGAAACCTGCTTTACATTTTAGAAGTAGATGTTCTAACTGACATTATTTTCATAGTCAAACCCTTGAGGTATCATAGATAAGATAAACTTTTTAAATTTTACAATGTTTCCAACAATTATGCATTGTATTAGACTTTAGTTTTACAAAAACTGTCTTATTAGAAAAGATCAAAAAGTGAGAGAGATCTGTTTATGAATTGAATACTCCTCAAAAAAAAAAAATAAGATAAAACCACCTGGCATTGCAGGTTACTTTAAGCATAACAGTAGCTTAAGCAAAGAGCTCTGAGTACCAAAGGATCATGCTCTGATTAACCAGTACCTCTGAGGTTGTACGAATGAAATGTGAAACCATATCATTCTTTTTTTTAACATGATTAAGAAAAATAAATATATTAAAGATTTAAAAATTCTTTAAGTCATTTCTATGAGCTACTACTTAATATAAAATACTGGGGCTATTTTAAAACACATCTACAGTAGGGGTGAAGGGAGGGCAGGGACAAGGGGAAAAAAATGAGAACCAAGACCTGTCATGTAAAGGTATAAGATCCCAATAAGGAATATAACTGTACTGTACTATATACCTAAAATATACCAATAAACTCAATTAAAAAAAAAAACAACACATCTACAGAGCTCATCAGAACTTGAAAGGACAGAGAGAACAGATTTCCTCCAGTGCACAAAAGTATGTGAAAGGCTTTGAAGCTGCTGGCTGAAACTGACATGAGCTTCCCTCAGAAGCTTTCTGAAAACATTTCAGCTCAACCAGACTTACTTTCAGAAAACTTTTATTTCCAAGGGTCCACTCTCTTCAGCGGTGAACCCGATACAGTGGTGACTACCCATTCGGGGCTGCACCCGGATAGAAAGAGCTTGAAGGAGGAGGAGCATGGGTGACTTCTGCACCTTCCTCATTTTAGAGTGACAGGCTAGAAACCGTTCCTCCCAGCTCTTCAGAGCATCCTTGCATCCTCTGTTTCCCACAGTAGTATGCACATACCAATTCTCAACAGAAAATGTTTCCCTGAAAAGGGGCTTTGGCATGATGCGAGCAGGACTCTTAACCTTCCTACCTGCAGTAATGTTTTGATCCAGCCTAAATGCAATATGTTATCATCCATTTGTACATTACTGATTGCTTTGACTTTTGAAATAATTTTCTGTACACCTTTATGTAAACGACTAAAAAATGACTTCATGTGATCAAAAAACATGATGGTTGGTTTTATTACAGTAAAAGACAGAGCCATTAATCCCCCTCAAAATACTTCCTCTGGGACCGGTGATTTAGCTCTGATGCCAAAACTGCCTCACAACTGCAAGGTCCTGAGTTCAATCCTTGGTACTGGAAAAAACAAAAACAAAACTTCCTTTTACTTTGAACACATTTAGCCCATTGTTCTTCCTGTTTTCAGAAGGAGATCTGGAAGTCCTCTTTCACTGAGGCTACACTGATGTTGTGAATCGATTTATCGTGTTAGCCATTCATGCTGATTTTGACTTTTGGGAAGACCCAAAAGTTTCCTGGTGCTGGATTTAGTGAATAAGGTGGATGAGGACACAATGATGTTGCTACAGCTTGTCTTGCCATTGCATGGCACTTGGCAGCAGCATTCACCATCCTGATCACATCTTATAAAGACTCTCACAAAAGAGAACTTTCAGAACTGCTTCTTGAATGGGCAAGAAGAGTGGGATAAATGTGTCTGAAGCAAGGGAGGTGTTTTGAGGGAAATTAATGGCCATATCTTTTAAGGTAATACTATTTAGAAAATACTTAAACATTTATTGTATATTTAGACATACATGGTATGTCTCATCTCCCAGAAGTGAAGCATTCCATATATGACTGAAGCTACCTATCCTTTCAGTACTTTATTTCCTGGTAATATGCTATGAGCATTCATTGATTTGTGTCTTATTCAAGAAGTTCATTGGGATATAAACACTTGGGAGCCAATTGCTGCCTCGTATATAACCACATCTTCATCTTTACTAAATATGTCATATTAACCCGCACACAGGTGTGCCAAGGTGCTTTCAGCCATGATGACACCAGGGTTCTCCTGTTCCACATCCTGACCTGTTCTTGACATAGCCCTTTGTGCAGTCTGAGGGTAAATGATATTTCTCTGTGGTCTCCATCATTTTCTAGTTATTGGCCATGGCAAGCTCCACTTCTGTGGATTGCTCCTTTCTTTCATCTGTCTTTTCCTTGGGCTACTGATACTTAAAATTTCTGTAGACCTTGATTACCTTTTGCCAGGCAATACTTTGTCAACAGTTTTCAGTTTATGATGTTTTTATATGATCCGAGGTTACTGAGTTAAACCGAGGTAAATGAGTCAGTATTTTTCTTTTTAAAATGTGTAAATTTTATGCCTTAAATCATCCTTCCATCCCTCAGGGTCATAGAGATATTCTTACTTTAGTTTTGAGTTTCATTTTCAGGTCTTTTGTTTCATCCAAAATTTATGTCTGGTGTGAGAAAACTTATTATGTTTATGATATCCATTTTTTCATTTTTGATAATTTTCCTGGCACCACTTATCATTCCTTTTCCAATGATTTGCAGTGCACCAACAGGTTTTTATACACATGAGTATATATGTCTCAGACCACTGTTCTGTTCCCTGAGTTTACATACTTCCTGTATTAACTACTAGCTTTATAATAAATAGTGAAATTTACTGACACCTCTAATTTTGTTCTTCACATTTTCCATATCCTTGGCTTCTTGTTATTCTTCATAAATTTTAGCATCAACTTAAGTGTCACGTACAATTCCATCAAAACTTTTATTGGGGGCCGGGGATTTAGCTCAGTGGTTCAGTTGCCTGCCTTGCAAGCACAAGGACCCGAGTTCAATCCCCGGTACCCCCCCTCAAAAAAAAAAACCAAAAAAGTTTTATTAGCTCTACATGTAACTTATTGAATTGCTAAACAATTAGTAAAAATACACCTGCAGATTAATTTGGATTTCTACACATAATCATATTTCTGTTAATATCAAATTTTCTTCTGCATACTGTAACAAACAAGTGGCTGAAACAGTAACTTTAAAAAAGCATTCCTAATTTGCTTCTACATATAACCAAGTGCAGAAGTAAGCAGTTACAGGGCAAGGTTGTTTTCCAAATGTTTCTTCACTCTTTGACCACTGAAGCATTTGTTTTGTTGTGAGTTTACCAGATTAGTTAGAGGATATTACTTTATCTGTAGTGTCTAGAAATATTCATCGTCTCCTTAGGTCTTCTGAGTTCAGTGAGTAAGACAAGTGTGGCTATGGGATCCCACTTAGTGAGGAAAGCTAACAGTAAATCTCTGATGACATTTTTATAAGCTACAATTACATTCTGAACTGACTCTAATCAACGTGGACCCTAGAAACATAAATAGAAATTATCTTACTGTAAGTATCCCAAGATTCATATTTTCAGTTTTGGAGAGATCTGAATTTCAGATTTTTTTTATGAAGTTGCAAATAAAGCCACTATGTATCATGATCATGAGCCCTAGAACCCTTTCTTGCTTCTTTTAGAAGCAGCACATAGGCTTCTGTCTTCCTTGCAACATTCTTAACCCCACCCTATCCAGCCATGTTCTGTGCTACATACATTTCTAAGGTGTGGATTCTTTTAAGATTTATTAACACTGTTCAGTCTTCTGTGCTACTTTCTTTGATTAATAAATTTGTGTTACTGGGTATTAATAACTTAATGTTCAATTTTCTTCATAAATCTAGCAGGGGTATACAGGTTGAAACTTCAAGTAATTTCTATACAGTAGAATTTTCTTTTCATGTTAAATGTTATACAATGTTTTTGATTTGTAGACTCATTCCATAAGTGGCAGTATATTTCGGTCTGTGATATTTACAGATATTCTTGACTTTTGAAAAAGGAACAATTGTAATATTAACATTCCTATGACATTTTACTTTTATAAATTCCTTTAAATGTTGTAGTAGGTCTGTGAGACTGGCTGGATTTTCCACATTTTTCAGGTAAAAAATAATAGTTCATAGGTGTAAATTGATAATTTGCCCAATTAGGGATTGAAGCACTTAAAAGCTTGGAGTCAAGTGTTCAATGCAGTTTATTCTTGCTCCAGTTAGTAAATAAAAGATATTCATATAAAATGAACTGATGTTAAAAAAAAATTGCTAAAATGAATTTGAAACAAAGGGGAGAAAAAAAGAGGACAACTGTTTATTGAAAATAAAAGAAGACCGAAAATAGGAGATAATGGTAAGACAGTGATTAAGAAGAAAGAAAATTCTCTGGACAGATCAGTTAACTTTTAGTTTTTCTTAATGGAAGTGTTTAAATAGAGTTCCTTTCCATTTTCTCAAGCCACTTATTTATTTACTTACTTATTTTTATTCATTAAG